GAGCCAGCAGACCGCACGAAACATCCCCATCATCTGGGCGCGAGCGGGCAGGCGTCCCCCTTTCCATGGCGGCTCCTTGAGGGGGTGCCCAAGTGCCACGCTTGCTCGATCGCGGTGGGCATGGTGCTGTCAAGGGGAAGAGAGAGGGACAGAGAGAGGGAGAGAGAGACAGAGCGAGAGAGAGAGAGAGAGAGTCAGAGAGAGAGGGAGAGACAGAAAGAGAGAGAGAGAGAGAGAAAAACAAAGAGACAGGAAGAGAGAGAGAGAGAGAGATGAAGATAGATAAAGAGAGAGAGGGAGAGCGAGAGCGAGAGAGAGAGAGAGAGAAGCCTGGGCCACCAGACAGGCAAACAACCTAAAACGTCTTCACGGTCGGGGCGCGAACGGGCAAGCGGCCCCCCCTTTGGCGGCTTCTCTCCTTGGGACTCCCATGCGCCACGCCTGCTGCACCGCGGTGATCGTGGAGGCTCCTGAGAGAGGGAAGTCGCCGCCGAGCAGGCAAACCGCTGGAGACAGCCCCACGGCCCAGGTGCGAGCGGGCATGTGCCCCCTCCCTGGCGGGTCCTCCCCGTGGTGATCATGATGTGCTCAGGAGACAGAAAGACAGGGAGAGAGAGAGGGAGCGAGAGAGAGAGAGAGAGGAAAGAGGAATAGAGAGAGAGAGAGAGAAAGAAGGAAGTCTGGGCCACCAAACGAGCAAACCGCCCGAAACATCCCCACGATGGGCGCAAGGTTGCAAGCGTCGCCCTTCTCTGACGGCTTCTCGGGGTGACAAAAGTCATGCCTGCCATATCGCGATGATCATGAGGCTCCCAAAGGAGAAAGGAGCCGGGGCCACCAAGCAGGCGAGCCACCTGATACATCCCACAAGCTAGGCGCGAACGGCCAAGCGGCCCCCTCCTTGCCCGACTTCTCTTTGAGTGCCCGAGTGCCACGGCTGCTATACCTCGGTGATCGTAAGGTTTTCAAGAGAGAGAGAGAGAGAGACAGACAGACAGAGAGAGAGAGGGACAGGGCAAGAGAAAGAGGGAGAGAGAGAAGCCCGACCACCAAGCAGACAACCCGCTTGAGAGATCCCCACAACCCGGGCACGAAAGCCAAGTGTCCCCCTCACTAGCGGTTCTTTCCTGGGGTACCCAAATGCCACACCTAATATGTTGGGTGTGAGCAGTATTAGCGTGAGTGAGTCCGAATGTGGCAGGATCTGTGTGTCATCGTGGTCTGAGTACGCGTGGCTGCGAGTGCGTCTGAGTGTGAGTTCGTCTGCCTGTGATTTCAGAAAGTATGAGTGCGGATGAGTGCGAGAGGGCTGTGTTGGAGCGAGTCTGAACGTCAATGAGTCTGAGTACGGCTAAGTTGAATCTGCGTGAGCCTGAGCGTGAGGAGTCTGAGCTTGAGTGAGTCTGCGTGTAAGCAAGCCTGAGTGCGAGTGGGTCTGAGCGCCCATCCCGCCACCATGCCTGCTGGGTGGCGGCTCAGAGGCAAGTCGGAGGTGTCTTTTGGAGGTCTTTTGGGGAACTGCTCCAGTGGAGGACCCGCAATGAGAAACGGGGGGTCGGCGTGCAAACAGCCCTTCCGCCCCCGCCCCCCCTTCAATGGTGTATGTGTTCCCTTCCCCCCTTCCCTTTCAGGGGGATCCCCCCCTACCCCTTTGCACCAACGGAAAGGAAGGGGCGGTGGACACACCTTCCCCCCTTCCACCAAAGGAAGATGGGAGGGTGGAGCCGGAAATGTGACGAACCCCGACCAAGCAGTCCCGATTCCAACCGTTCGGGGCAGATTGCAACCAGATCGGTCCCATTTACAGCCACTTACTGTTACGGAATCTTCAAAGTTGTAAGACATTCAGAGATCTCCAGGGATCTCCGGAGATGTTCAGACATCCCCAGAGATTTTCAGAGATCTTCAGAGATGTTCAGAGATCTTCAGAGACTTGTCGAGATCTTCAGAGATTAAGATCTTCATATCTTCAGAGATCTTCAAAGATCTTCGTGACCACGCGCGGTCGTGCCCACGTGGGGCCGTAACGCCCACTGCACTGATGCGGGGTCGAGGTGTTCGAGCTTCGCGAAAGCAACAAGTTCCAGAGTCCAAGCCAGAGCAGCGTTGAAATATTCGCGCCGAGACCGCGGCGGACGCGGGAGCGGGTTGGGGCAAACGCGGCCCCGTCTAGGGCCGCGTCGACGGTGTCGGAGCGGCGTCGCGGCAGCAACGGTTTTGGGATGTCCAAAACGCGAGGCTCCGAACCAAAATTTCGCTGCACATTCTGCAGAGTATATCCTTTCTTGCTCACCGCTGATCCCACGGAGCGACACGGCGTCGCCGTCGGCGTCGGCGTCGGCGTCGGCGTCAGCGTCGGCGTCGTCGTCGTCGTCGTTGTCGTCGTCGTCGTGGCCCAGTGGCCGAGGGCGAGCAGAGTGTCAAAAATTGTTGGTTTGCGGCCGCGAGAGGCCTCTCTTTTCTCGTCCGCTCCCCATTTTTGGAGACAGTTTTGAAGCATCCAGTGGGCCGTTTGGGAGCCCCTGGGGTGCTCTTTTGGGCATCGTGGGGGCCTCTTGGGCACTCATGGGCCGTGTAGGGCGCCTCTTGGATCGTCTTGGGGCTGTCTGAGGCCATCTTGGGCGCCTCTTGGGCAGCCTTGGTGCCATCTTATGCTGTCTTGGGCCCCTCTTGGGCCCCATGTGCGGCCCTCTTGGGCCGTCTTGGGAGTTTTTTGGGCCGCGTGGCCCTCTTGCGGCGATCGTTGAGGCCCCTGGGGCCGTCTTGGGCGTTTCGAAGAAAAGGGAAATTCATTAGCTGATGCTGTGAGTTTCCCAACGGCAATTGTACGCTTCTTGCTTGATAGGGGAGCCCTCTTGTGGGTCCCCTTGGAGCCTTGGGGAAGCGTCTTCGGGAACCGAGCAAGATTTGGGAACCGTTTTCGGCCGTTCGGGTGGCCTTCTGGGGGGAAGGAAGGAAGGAGGGAGGGAAGGAAGAGGACGAGGAGGAGGAGGAGGAGGAGGAGGAGGAGGAGGAGGAGGAGGATGGAAGCGAATATTTGTGCCTCCGGGGCCGCTGCGGGACCGCGCGGGCGATTTCGGGAACTGCTTTTTGGCTGCCTGGGGGCCCTCTTTCGGCCGCTGTTGGGCCGCTGTGGGGCCAACGCGACCAGGCCCCCCCCCCAACCCGACCGACAGCTTCTGGATCTACTTGATGGGATACGTGTAGATCTGTGTGTGCACACAGTATATATACATACATATTTACGCACACATGCCACTTCCGTGGCACACGAGGATGTGCGTGCGTGTGTGGTGTGGAAGGTGTGTGTGATGTGTTTGTGTGTTGTGTGTTATGTGCGTGCGTGTGTTGTGTGTGCTTTGTGTGTGTGTTGTGAATGAGATGTGAAGGTGACGTGTGGTCTGCGTATTAAATGAATTAGGCATGTATCTCGTGTCGGGTGTGCTGTGTGTGTGTGATGTGTGTGTTGTGTGTGCGTGCGTGTGTGTATGTTTGCGCGCGTGTGTGTGTGTGTGTTTGTGTTTGCGTGTGCGTGTGGGGGGTTCTGTGCGCATTATGTGTGTTGTAGGTGTTGTGTGTTCTCTGTGTGTTGTTTGTGTGTTTTGTGGTGTGTTATGTGTGTATTGTGTCTGTTTCGCTTTCTCGCTCTCCCTTTCTCCCTCTCTCTCTCTCTGTTGTACGTCGGGGATCGATGTTTGATGGGATGTCTCAGGCAAAACCGTTTTTGTTTACAAGCTCGTGTTGAACAAGGGACACGATGGTAGGGCATGTCCTGAGCCAATCTGCAATATTCGAAGAGCCGGGCTCACAATCATTGAATTCCACAGTGGTTCTGAAGGCCTTATGCCAGAAGTGTTGAAAAAGGCACTGTCGTTGGACCGTGCCGTCGCGATCTGCGTGAGGTGTGCATCTAAGTGTTTCGAACATGTTGAGGATGTCCCTACCGAAACTGCCAAACCAAGAAATACAGCTTCACAATGAATCGCCTCTGAGCTCTACTTCCTCGGACCGGTGCGTACGGTAATATATATATGTGTGTTTAAAACTGAATAGATGCAAACATACAAATATACATGAATGCATGCATGCATACATACATACACACCTATATATGTGTGGCGCCTCTGATGCGTTTTTGGACTCTTAGGGTCGATGGGGGCTACAACAACTGGAGTCTCTGGGAAGGTGTTGGCCTCTCGGGGAAGCTCACTCTGCCTCCACGAGGCGCCCAGCATGGCCCCGCGGCGAACCATTTTGGGGCCATGTTGCGGCGATCTGGCCACGTGGAGTCCGAGCAACTCCTCCAGGGCCTCGGGGGGACGTTGCGCGCCATGCCCTAAGAGCCCGCGGAAGTGCAGAAGATCGGTGAGTTGGGGCGTCTGGCTTTAGTCTGAGTGTTTCGATCGGTTCGCAGACTCGCTGGACTTTTCGACGCGATCCGAAGAGCTTCTTCTTTTATAGAGCAGAGTCGCGGGGGCGGATTTGTTTCAGACATGAATTCCGTCGATTCCCGCTTTCGGCCATGGAGGTGTCTTGGTTCCCTTGTTGTGATATTGGGCCCTTGTAACAGTCAGGCGCATGACCGTATGTGTGTTGTTTGCCCCTGCTATCTCTGGAGAAACATGCACGCTTTCGCGTTTACGCGTGTTTTTCGTCTGTAGCGTTTTCGCAGTATTGCGCCATCACGGTGTCCGAATCGCGCTCATATAGGATAGGCGTTGCAGTTGTGTAGTGTTGTTGATCTCGCACTTGTTCTGACTGATGGGGGGGGGCTCTGGTGACCATGGGCATACGCTGTCCTATTGATTCATTGTTTCGTTTTCTGTCGCGTAGTCATTGCCTCCACTTTTTGTTGCATGTTTCTGGCATGCCTGAATCGACGTGTGTGGTGCCAGCACGAGTACTGTAGGAAAGTGCTGCGCTAGCGTTTTAGAAGGAGCGCGAGGCAGGACGCTACTGCTGCTGCCGCCAGCGTTCTGAGTATTGCTTGTTCTTCGTAGGTCACCCCGACGAGTACAGCAACCAGCTGCGCCCCCCGCAGGTTACTGTCCAACCTGCCCGAAGGAAGTTTTCTCAGGCTGGGCCGAGGAGGATGAGGAGTACGGCGAGGATTGCAGTGTGCTTGTTGATGATGGCGATGTGAATCTGGCGGCATCTGCGCTGCGGTCTCTTTACGACTACCAGTTGTCCTGAAAAGTGTTTGATGCTTCATGTCAGCGGGGGGGTCAGGAGGATGGGCGGAAGGGAGGAGGGAGGGGAGAGGCATTTGGGAGAAGGACAGGGTGAGAGCAGGAGGGACGAGAGAGCGAACCGATCCGATGGATGGAGGGAGGATGGGGGAGAGAAAGGCGGATGGAAGAGACGAAAGGGCGAAAAAGTATCGAGGGCAGGGAGGGACGGTGGGAGAGAAGCGGGGGAAGCGTGTCCTCGTCGTGCCAGTGGGCAGACATGCGACGACAAGGGGCAGGGGCCTGCCTCGTCTTTCTTCGGTTGTGGCGCGGCATTCGATCAGATGTTTCCCACTGCAGCCGACCGATCGAGCCGAGGTTCGCGTCTCTTCCTCCTCCTTCCAGCCCCCAGCCCCAGCCATTGCAGGCCCAGCGGCGGGCCTTGCCGGCACTCCTCATGCAGAGCGGCACGCGTCGTCAGCAAGCCCCGTGCTCGGTCTCGACCGCTCCGTCGACCGTGGCTTCTGGTGCCGGCGGCGGCGCCGGCGGCCCGCAGCTCGGCGGCGGCGACTTGCCCGAGCCTTCCGCGAGCCAGTGGTCAGCGCTCCTCTCGTGCGGCGGCCTCGCCCAGTCACCCGGCGTGCAGCGTGCGATGGGGTCTGGGCATGTTTTCGCACGTCGTCCTCAGACTGCAAGCTCAAGGCCAGCCAGCAGCGGCAAGCTTTGTGCAAGGGCCCACCTGGTACCCTTTACCACCGGCTCTTTGCATGCTCCGCCGATGAGGTGGTCGCGCAGATGTCGGTGCTTCTGTATGCGTGACCTGACGGTGCCCATAGAGTTTTGTTTTTCTGGTTGAAACTTGGGCCGAGCTTCAAGTAATTAGGCTTGCCAGCGCCTGCCGCCTGTTTGTTTATCAACAGGGTTCGCTCTAAACTTCCTCTTCCCGAGCTTCTTCGGGCTGGGGCCGAGGGAGGAGGAGTCCGTGGGACCCGTCTCCCTCCAGCCCCGTGTTGCTCTTCTCTTGCCGCGGCCGAGGTGTTCGTCGGAGTCCAGTTCCAGCGGCAGCACCCCTCGCGTAGGTAGCCCAGCTCCAACGGCAGCTCCTGGTCATTGAGTACTCGCTTTATTTCGAGCCCAGAATCGCCCACGGGGCCTCAGCGGCCCCCGAAATCGCCCCAAGACATTCTCAGTGTGGTGAGTTTTTTTCTTGAGGGCTGCCAGGGTCTCTCTTGGTCTCCTGCCCCCCAGGCAGCGCAGGCGACTCTCTCCACACCGCGCCCGCTGCGCGCTCACGAGGTCGAGGTGGCCTTGCCGAGGTGTGCGCGGGTGACACGCATGCTCTTATGTCCTCCTCGTCCTCCTGCACCTCCTCCTCCCCCTCCTCCTCCTGCTCCTCCTCCTCCCCCTCCCCTCCCCCTCCTCCTCCTCCTCCTCCTCCTCCTCCTCCTCCTCCTCCTCCTCCTCCTCCTCCTCCTCCTCCTCCTCCTCCTCCTCCTCCTCCTCCCCTGCGCGGGGTCGACAGCGCCGAAATATAACCACCAACACCGAAATCTAGGATCATCTTCCCCCTGTGGAGGCACCCCCCTGTGTTGGTGTTGGTGCCAATTTCCAGGCCTCCAATGATCCCCGGCCTTCGCGCGCACGAGCTGATCCCTGCATTGTGGCCAAAGGCACTCTCCTGCGCCCGCCGCTCTTCGGTGCTGGATGCGGCCACTGCGCGCCATCTCGCCAGAGCTGATCCCTGCACTGTAGCTGGTGTCCCGCTTCCGCGCTCGCCCTTCTCGCAGTGCCAGATGAGATGCGGCCACTGCTCGTCTTCCTGCCAAGGCTGATACCAACATTGTAGCTAATGATCCTCTCCTGCGTCCGTCTTCTGACGCCCGCTGCGGCGCTGTAGCTGATGATATCAGGGTACACTGGTCCACACTGCACGCCAGCTCCATTGCCTGCCTCCCCGCTTGCGCCGGCTCCAGCGCTGTAGTTCGCAGCTCCACTGCCTGTCTGCTCGCTTGCGCCGATTCCAGCGCTGTAGCTCGCATCGTCGCACTGGCGGCCGCTGCGGCCAGTGCCCTCCGTCTCGCACTCGCGGATCCCAGCTCTGTAGCTGATGATGCGTGGCTTGTGCTACGACGGCCTCCCGACTGATTTCCTGCACTGTTGCCGCGGCGCCGCATTGGATGGCGCTACGGTTCACCAGGAGGTGGAGAAGAAGGAGGAAGGAGGGAAGAAGGGGGCGGAAGAGGGCGAGATTCCTGGCGGCTGCGCGCGCGCCGAGTCTCAGCATTGTAGCCGATGACGTTGGGCTCCGCGCTTCTTCATGGCGGAAGTCTGGCATCAACATAGTAGCTGATGGCGTTTGGTTCCGCAGTTCTTCATGACAGAAGCCTGGCCTCAACATTGTAGTTGATGACCTTTGGCTCCCCGTTCCTGCATGGCTCGTGGGCGCGTCGCCGCTTCGAAGTTTGCGCTCCACAGCGCCCGCGCGCGCCCCGCGCAGGGGGGGCCGCTCGAGCGCGAAATGGCTGGGAGGAGGAGGCGGAGGAGGAGGAGGAGGAGGAGGAGGAGGAGGAAGAGCACCTCTCCTTCTGCCCCCCCCCCTCCCCTGCCCTTACCTTCCCGTCGCAGGGCGAGGCGCATGAAGGCCCTCGCGGCTCGCGAAGACGGGCTCGCGCAGACGGGCATGGCGGAGTCCACGGTGCAGCCCGGCGACCTCGCTCCCGAGGCGGGGCTCTCAGGAGGAGCGCAGGGGACGGGGACGGAGGAGGGACGAGGGAGGAGCTTGAAGGGAAGTGAGAGGGGAGGGGGAGGAGGAGGAGGAGGAGGAGGAGGAGGAGGAGGAGGAGGAGGAGGAGGAGGAGGAGGAGGAGGACCAGTGGAAACCCAATACTCATAAACGATATTGCTATAAACCCTCCCTCCAAGTTCTCTCTTCACAGGCCCCTGATTGCAAGGAGTCGTTTTCAGTGAGGGAAGTGCCCTGCTGGAAAACAACTGCTTGAGAATCCTGAACTGCGCCAGAAGACCACTTCCTGGGACCTCGACGCTGCGAATCACCGTCAGTGGTGCGTCTTGACGATCACGATCCTAAATCGGGCCAGGTCATTCTTCCTGAGACACCACCACGAATCACAGTTAGTGATGCGCCCTGACAGTCCGACATCGTGCCAAAACACAATTCCGGGGACACGGATACGTGCGGCACTAAGGCGAGCGCCACATGTTAGAAAGGAATCGCCATCCATCCGGGAGATTGTTGCAAATGTTTCAGACGAGTATGCGCTGCGCTAAGGTGAGAGCCTTATTTCAAAAAGAACTTCCTGGGACCTCGACGCTGCGAATCACCGTCAGTGGTGCGTCTTGACGATCACGATCCTAAATCGGGCCAGGTCATTCTTCCTGAGACACCACCACGAATCACAGTGAGTGATGCGCCCTGACAGTCCGACATCGTGCCAAAACACCATTCCGGGGACACACGGATACGCGCGGCGCTAAGGCGAGCGCCACATGTTAAAAAGGAGTCGCCATCCATCCGGGAAATTGTTGCAAATGTTTCAGACGAGTACGCGCTGCGCAAAGGTGAGATCCTTATTTCAAAAAAAAACTTCCTGGGACATCGAGCTGCGAATCACCGTCAGAGGTGCGTCTTGACGATCACGATCCTAAATCGGGCCAGGTCATTCTTCCTGGAAACACCACCACGAATCACAGTTAGTGATGCGCCCTGACAGTCCGACATCGTACCAAAACACCATTCTGGCGACACACGGATACGCGCCGCGCTAAGGCGAGCGCCACATGTTAAATAGGAGTCGGGGCTACCCTTTAAAACGGGGGGGCGGCTTCGGAAGCTCCCCCCCCCTCTCTCCAGTTTTCGTGGCCGGAAAGGAGGGGGGGCTTCGAAGCTACCTCCCCCTCCCTCCCTTTTTCAGAGCCGGAGGTCAGCCCGGGCTCCCTTTTGAAAGGGGGGTGGGGCTTCGGAAGCTACCCCCACCCTCTCCCCCCTTTGTTGCCAAAGGGGGGGGGGGGGCTTGAAGCCATCCCCCCTTACCCCCTTCGGGGAGGGAGGGGACGGAGGGAGGGTGGAGGGAGATTTCATTGCAATGGATTGCATGTGATTGAATTGGAATCGTTTGGATTGCAATCGATTGGATTGCAATCGGTTGGATTGCAATCGATTCGATGGCAATCGATTGGAATGCAGGGGAGGGACAGGAGGGAGGGGAGGGAGGGGATGGAGGAGAGGGAGGGGAGAGAGACAAGCCAGGTGCGCTCGCGTCATATCTTGCGTTAAACCCCTCCCTCCCATCCCTTACCATGGTGTAGATCTCGTTTCTATTCGCACAATCGGATGTCGCAGCATGGCGTAGCATTATATGGCATAGCATGGTGTTGAATATCAGCGCGTAGCATGACATAGCACGGCGTGGCGACGCACCAAAGTGGGGGGGGCTTCTGCGGCCCCCCAAAAAACGAATCGGCACCGAATGTGTGATCACTTCCGATGGGATCTTCGGGAGGCCATTTTCTAGATTTTGGGGCTTTTTGGGAAGGACCGAAACCATGCCGTGGCATAGCACTGGAAATAAAGGCGCCAGCGCTGCAGCGGGAGCACGATTCGGAACGAGCGGAAGCGCGGAAATGAAGCCAGGGCTGCAGCGGGAGCACGATTCGGAGGACGCGGAGCCTGACATAGCATGGAGTGGAGACACCCCAAAGTGGGGGGGGGGCTTCTGCGACCCCAAAAGTCGACGAATCGGCACTGAATGTGTGATCACTTCCGATGGTTTCTTCGGGAGGCCATTTTCTAAATTTTGGAGCCTCTGTGGAAGGAACGAAAACCATGCCGTGGCATGACGCTGGAAATAATGACGCCAGCGCTGCACTGGGAGCACGATTCGGAACGAGCGGAAGCGCGGAAATGAGGCCAGCGCTGCAGCGGGAGCACGATTCGGAACGAGCGGTGGCCCGAAAATGAAGCCAGCGCCTCAGCGAGAGCAGCATTTTGAACAAATGCCCAAGCGAAAACCCGTTTCCCGGGAATCCTGTGTGAAAAAAGCTTGTACGCGGAGGGGGGCCGGCCAGTTCCCGGACGTCACCAGGGGAGAGAGGAGAGTAGTATTCATGTGGTGTAATTGTGGAGGGAGGGGATGAAGGGGGGGGGCGGAGGGAGGGGAGGGGGCTTAGCCACTCACATTCTCCTCCTTCCGAGAAGGAAGGGGGGAGGCAGAGGAGGGGGGGAGGGAGGTGGGGTCAGGGTGGGGGTCAGGGTTAGGCTTTAGGTTGTACGTTTAGGGTTCGGGTGAGGGTTCGAGTTCGGGTTCGGGTTAGGGTAGGGTTAGGGTTAGGGTTTTTACGGTTGACGGTTTCGGTTCAGGGCTTTGGTTAGGTTCTGGGGTTTCGGGTTAGGGTTTGGGTAAGGGTTGGGACAGTGTTACGGCTAGGGTTAGGGTTCGTGTTTTGGCTTGGGGTTTAGGGTTGAGGGTTAGGGTTCGGGTTGAGGGTTGAGGGTTGAGGGTTGAGGGTTTAGGTTTAGGGGTTAGGGCAAGGGTCAAGTTAGCCAGCTCGATCGAGCCAGAGGGCTCCGTCTACTCACACCCGCCCCCCCACAACATGAGAAGCAAGTGCGTCGCGTCCGACGCCTGTCGCTCATCTTATATCGCGCGCGACATGAGCTGCATCCTATTCCCGCCGCGTATTGAGCAACGTCGGCGAGAAACAATACCGCGCGCGATGTACGCCGCGCCCCGCTCCGGCCTCTCATGTTGCATCGTCGGCGACAACATGTCCAGCGTGCGAAGTGCGCCGCGTCTCATTCCAGCCACGCGTGTTGCACCTCCAATCGTTTCTCTCCTGCCGCGCATGGAGGAGGGGGAGGAGGAGGAGGAGGAGGAGGAGGAGGAGGAGGAGGAGGAGGAGGAGGAGGGGGAGGGGGAGGGGAGGGAGAGAGTGAGGGAGGGAGAAACTGAGGAGGAAGAGGAGAACGCCTCTTGGGAATTCTCGGGGCGTCCTCGGAGTTTTCTGGTATACGCCTGAGGGCCTCTTGGGTATATCTTTCAGGTTGGAACATTGTCAACACAAGTAGGTGCTAACCTCGCAATCCTTCAAACACCAAATGAACATCAATATTTGTGTTGCCCCCCCAGGACCTCCTGGACGCCTTTTTTTCGACCTCTTGGGGGTCTCCTGGGGCACTTGCTTGAACCGCGTTTGCTCGAGGCATTATGATTTGCCGCCCGCCCAGCTATTCAACCCGACGGGAAGCAGCGTCGACGACAAGAAAGTCCATGTTGACGAGCAGGCGTCCCCGCGCGATGTGCGCCGCGTCCTATTCCCGCTACGCGATTCGCAGCGCCGACGAGGAGAAAGTACATGTTGGCAAGGAAAACGTCGACGTTGCTACGTTTTTGACAGGTAGGGCGGGGGGTACCGCGTAGGGTTGGCCAGGCGTCCGCGCGCGATGTTGGCCGCGTCCCCTTCCTGCTTCACTTTTCGCAGCGTCGTCGACAAGAAAATCCACGCTGACGAAACGTTGACGTTGTATTGTTTTTTGGATGGGTCGGACGCGACCACCCGCTTGGGGTTATCCACGCGATGTCCATTACGTCCCGTTCCTGCTACACGTTTCGCAATTCGACGACATGCTGGCGAAAAACAAATTGGATTTGTGTTGTCCTTTGGCAGTTCAGACGGCGGGCTTGCTATCGGCCGGCTAGGTGTGGATGTGGGGATGTTGAATCATAAGGTGTAAGGATTTGGGCTCGGGCTAGGGGGTGAGGGTCAGGGCTTCGGGTTAGGAGTTAGGGTTCGGGCTTCAGTCTAGGAGGTGAAGGTTAGGGTGTTAGGTGTTAGGGTTTGGGGGGTTAGGGTAAGGGTTATGGTTTAGGGCTCGGGATTGGAGGGCGGGCGCGCGGGCGGGCGCGCGCGCGCGGGCGTGCGGGCCGGTTGTTAGGGTCAGGGGTTAGGGTTTAGGGTTTAGGGCGGGGTGTTGGGGTAAGGGTCTTAGGCGTAAGGTTTTTTTTCTCCCTGGGGGAGGGATGTGGATGGAGGGCATGGAGGTGGGGAGATGAGGGAGGCGAGGGAGGGGAGGGGGTGGAGAGAGGGGAGGGGCGGGAGGGAGTGGAGGGAGCGGAGAGAGGGGAGGGAGGGGAGGAAGGGGAGGGAGGTGGAGGGGAAGGAGGAGAGGAAAGGGAGGCGGGGGAGGGTGGGGAGGGTAGCGAGGGGAGCGAGGGGAGGGCGTCGCAAAGGGAGGAGCAGAGTATAATCGTATTTTTTTGTATGCCCCTTCAAGGGTTGCCAAGGGACGAGTCCAGTAGAACTGTATATCTCGATTTTCCGTACCTTGCTCATGGCACGCGTATAGCATAATTGTATGTTTTCGCGCCCCGGGCGTTTCCATGGGACGAGTAGAATATCACAATTGCGTTGCATTCGGTTGGATTTTAATCGGTTGGATTGCAATCGATTCGATTACAATCCATTGGATTGCATGGGCGGACAGGGCGGAAGGGAGGGAGGGGAGGAGAGAGATGGGGAGGGAGGGGAGGGAACGAAGGTTGGGGAGGGAGAGGAGGTAGTGGAGGGAGGGGGCAGGGGGATTGCAGTGGAGTGAATTGCAATCGATTGCGTTGCAATCGATTGGATTGCAATCGATTGAATTGTAATCGATTGGATTGCAGTCGGTTGGATTAGAATCCAATCTCTCGATCGTCGATCCTTCAT